AGCAATGTGGCTGTTAAATAAATCTGGCTTCCCCATGGCTTGGCTTTGCTTGCCAGAAGAGGTTACCAAAGGGAAACGCCTCACCCTGCCACTGTCATAAGTCCATGCCAGTTGCCAAGCCTCTGAATTTGGATCACATGACCCCAGGGATGCCGCGATGGCCGTGTGAAAAGGGACCCTTAAATTACTTTTTGCCAGTGCTGTTGTAACATCGAACGGTTGCAGGTTGAGGACGTTGGAGATCCAGGCAGGCGGACCGACAGCTGGCATGGGATTCTGGGAACTGAAGTCCTAAACTTTTGGATTCCTTTCAGAGGACAGGAAGCTGCTTTATAGTGCAAAATGATTTCTACTTCCTTCCTTCTGTTCCAAGGAAGCAAACACCAGATGGAGGTAACAGCAAAACCTTTTAATGATTTTTTACGAATTCTGTTCCTTCATGGGTAAAACTAATTGTCTCTGATAAGAACGAGCCTTGCCAAGGTGGTGCAAGACTGCCAAGAACACTAGATAAAGTTGCTAAGAAATATGTCAAACACAAAAAGTCTCCAAACACAAACTAAGGGAGTCCAAACATCCACCAGGCTTGAGTGCAAGAACTTCTTTGCTTCCTGCAAAGAACTCTGGTTTCTCAGCTGGCTTTTATCTCTTGAGGGAGGGGCCATCCCCTTGCAGCCTTACTCCCGAGTCGCCTGTGCTGCTGCAGCTGCTCTTTCCTTCAAGCAGCTCTGTATGCACACGCCCTGGGCACAGGCTCCTCGGGGACCTTTTCCTCACTGCTGGTGACTGGGTGACTTAATAAAGGAGATTTTGGTGTGGTGTGGACAACTGGATAGCCACACACAATTTCGGCCATTGCACCTTCCCCAGCTCCCATAGGGAGGAAGAGGAGGAAGGATGGAGAAGAGAGAGGCGTACGTGGATGGCTGTTTTACTGTCCTTCAGCTGCCAACTTTTAGCCTGATCCAGGCAGTCCTCGATTTATGACCACAATTGAGCCCAAACTTTCCATTGTTAAGCGAGACACGTCTTATGTGAATGTTTGCCTCCATTGACTATCTCTCTGGCCACCATTGTTCAGTGAGTCATTGCAGCTGATTAAGTTAGGAATATGGTTGGCTTCCCCAATGGTTTTGCTCGTCAGGTGGTCGCTAAAGAGAGAACACATGACCCCAGGATGCCACGACCGCCATAAAAGTGAGTCTTGCTCAATGTCCGAATCCTGGGATCGCGAGGATGTGCGACGGTCGTAAGGGTGAAAAATGGCCATAAGTCACCTTTTTTGGGGTTGTGTCTTTGAACGGTCACTAAGTGAGCTTATAAGTCAAGGATTACTTGTAGTTTCACACATTGGGGGCTGTGTCCGAAGGGTCAGAGACCCTATTCACACAACCTATAGCCAAGGGCAACCAATCTAGTGTCTCCATTGAATTGAATTTTAAACGGTGCTAAGCAGCCATTTTGTAAAACACTTGTGCCCATTTTTTGAAATGAGGATGTAGTGATGTCCCCAGCCAGATGTGCTACGATGCCCAAATAGGGGAATTCTGGGAGTTGTAATCAGAATAACAGAAAGGACCCCAGAGGTCTTCTAGTCTAACCCCCTGCTGAAGCAGGAGACCCAATATCATTTCAACACATTGGTTGTGTTCTCCACGTCCTTAACTTTACCTGCATTCGCAGAGAATCTCAGATAAATTTCATCTCGGTTGGTTTTCATGAGCTTTGGAGGATCCAATCGATAGTTTATGCTCAGGAGAGTGTGCGAAGCCCCCAAATGGGATATGGATTTATTCTTGTTTGGCTCGAAGATTCTGAGTCCAAACAGGTTTTCTAGGCTAGGGGTCTCCCAATTTAGCAACTTTTAAGATTTGTGGACCTCAACTCCCAGAATTCCCCAGCCAGCATGCGCTGGCTGGGGAATTCTGGGAGTTGAAGTCCACAGGTCTTAAAATTGCCAAGATGGACACCCCTGTGGTAAAGTCACCCCTTTCAACGCTGTCAAGATTGACGCCGGCAAGACTCTCTCCAATGCACTTTCTCTTCTTTTTTTCCCTTCCCTCATGATTAAAGGATTCTGTTTTTCTGCCTCATTCTTCTAAACCTGTCAGGGTGGTGTGGTGTGGTGTGTGTGTGTTTTTTTTAAGCTGACTTTGCACTCTTCCCGATGTTCCTTTTTTATTATTCAATTTTCCTTTTTGAGTTTTTGTATTATTGGGTGCATCTTTCCATCCTTTGGAAACTCTCTGCATATCCCTTCCACCAAAAAAAGAGGACGCAATGGGAGACAGGCATCGTGCCATCCGCTAGAAGACTGAGCCGCGAAAAACGGGATGTAAGCAAACCAGGCAATAAAAGGGTTGCTTCCGGACAACCCAATAAACCTGGTTACATGAATGGATGGCTTTCCTTTCCCCTCTTTTGGCCTTACTGGGTTTTGGAAAACACAACCCATACGTAGAACATTAGGGTTGGAAGAGACCTTGGAGATGCTCTAGTCTGACCCCCTGCTCGGGCAGGAAACCCTATACCATCCCAGTCAAATGTTTCTCCAATCTTTTCTTGAAAACCTCCTGCGATGGGAGCACCCAGAACCTCTGGAGGCGAGCCATTCTGCTGATTAATAGATTAACCGAGTAACAGTTGGAAGGGACCTTGTTAGGTCATCTAGTCCAACCCCCTCACCTGAGCAGTCTCCCCTTGGAAGCTTCCAGGGATTGATATGATTAATAGGGATATGATGAGGTTCCTCCAATTGTTCAAACCCACAACATCCAATTCATATACGTATTAACCAGGATAATTGTGTTGTGTGGATGCAACCAGTGAATATAAGAACACCTTGGTTTATCTGGAAGACCTGCTCCCAGCCTCTTCTTGGCCAGATATTTTCTAAAGCTTATTTGGGTCCCAAATAAGGGGAACTTCCAACTCCCAGAATTCCCCAGCCTGCTATTCATTTGGGCATTTTTTTTCCAACCACCTTCAACTGGTTTAAACTGTTGGAAGGAGGTTTGAAAAAATGCCAAAATGCATAGCAGGCCGGGGAATTCTGGGAGTTGGGAGTTCCCAGGTTTGGGCAATGCTGCACTAAAAGGTGAACTTCAGCATCCTCCAAAGAGAAGCAGTGGGTTTTGAGATTATTTTTCTGTGCTCTGTATTTCCTTCCCTGCAGTCTCTAAAACTTCAGACTTTTCGTAGATTTATCTTCCCTGAAGATAGCAAGGATTAAATTGGGATGTTTTGCACCCTGGAGACTGTAGTCCTCGTGATTTTGTTTTTAAAAAGTGCTTTGGTTTGATAGAAATAATTAGTTCTGATTTAATCCTAATTAGAAGTAAATACTCTGGAACCAGTTTAAAACAACATTTGAAAGATATTTCCTTACCTAAACAGAAAAAGAGAACGACCATAGCCAGCCAAAAAAGCAGTGAAGACAGAAGCAACTTCCGACTTCCTGTTGGTTCCTTCAGTGCCTTTCCTGGAAAGAAACTGGCTGGGACCACAGGAAACAAGAGTTACACAACTTTGGCACTGAAGTGGCTGCAACTTTGCCAGATTTTAATCCCACAGGGAGTCCCGGGTACCGGATTTTGGGTTCATTCTGTAAGTTGGTCCATTTGAAGTTTGCCGGTTCAAAAATGATTGCTGTAGGATGCACCGATTTGCCCAGTTGAGGGTGACAAACCAGCACGAGAATTTTTAGTACAGGTATTCCTTGACTGACAACTACAACGGAGCCCAACATTTAAGTGAGACATTGGTGAAGTGAGCTTGGCCCCATTTTTATGGCCTGTCTTGCCATCGTTGTTATATGAATCACCAGAGTTGTTAAATTAGTAACATGGTTCTTAAGTGAATCTGGCTAATCACCATTATGTCAACTCATAAGATATTCCTTGTAGTTGCTATTAAAAAAAAGGGGGGGGGGAGGAAAGGAAGGAAATCGGGAAGAGCCGTGCAGCAGTTTGGAAGCGGAAGTACATTCCAACTCTTCTCTTTAAAAGGCTGTAACTAAACTACCAGAGCTTTTGCCCTGAATATATTTAATTGGAGAATGTGATTGATGACACACCCAGGGGGGAGTGGGGGGCGGGGAAACAGGGTCACAGAGGACTGTAAATCACGTCTGCCAGAGTTGGCGTCATACAGGGCAGGGCCAGTATGTCGCCTCTAATAAATCCTTTGAAGTTTTTTGAAGTTTGACTCGAGAATCATGATTTCATTAGGACGATTGCTGGAATCCTGACACATTGAATAGTAAACTTTCCCTCCACGTCCGATCTTTGATTTGAAATTCAAGGATTATTGTCCTGAATTCCACTTTTTTGGCCCAGCCCCCCCCCCCCCAAAAAAAAAAAAAAAAAAAGAGAGAGAGAGAGAGAGAGAACCAAGCATATTATAATGTTCAAAGAGATTGAACAGCTTGGAATTTGGGCAGGGGGTGTCCCAACACACTTGGGGAAGGCAACCGAATTGCCTTAAACTGTAAGATGGGCAGCAAATAAAATTGACAAGTATATGTGATAAATGAATTGGAAAAGTAATCATAAAGGCTGGAAATGTTCCGGTGCAAATATGCAGAATTATTTTTCTCCCTGGACCAAACATTTCAGACCTCTTTTATTTTCTTGTCTTCCATTTTGGATTTAGAAAAAGGTATCTCTGCCCAATGATCTGAAATATTCTTCTCTCTCTGGCTTACGGGGGAGGAAAGGGCCCTGATTCCCTTCGTTAGCTACAGCTGGGATTGAGAGTTTAAGATGCAGGCTGACTGTGGCAGCTGCTGGGAACTGAGTTTATCTTGTATTGACTTTGTTCTCTGTGTTCCTGGTGTCTTCCCAACTGTGTTGAGTTATTGTCATCCCTTCACGCCTGGAATTCCTTCTCCTGCCCTGTTGGACTAATGACCTCATTTTGCCTTGATTGGACTTATAGTTCCAGTTTTTGTTGACCACGTTTGGCCTTGATTCCCTGCAGCCCAAGGCTGTTCCTGGGAGAGTTTTTCTCCAGCCCAGAAGGTAACCAGGACCTTGGGGACAAAGTTGGAGCTAATAAAGGGCCTCTTACTGATTATCTGTGTTGCCTTTGTGCCACGCCCCTTTGGGTCATCACGTTAGGCTCTGCATTCACACAACCTGCTCAACCTTGTTCATCTGTTTGGATAAACTCGGCCTGTTTGCTTTAAGGTTTTAACACGGTAGAGTTGAATCAACTGAATTCTGCATTCAGACCAACTCCTGCATGAACCGAAGCCCTTTCGGCCAGCCCCCTTTCTCAGCCCTCTCCAAAGGGGAAAAGAAACCCCAAGATTATTTTTCACCTGGGTTTAACTTTCCAAATCCGGGATTGAGAGCTGGAGGACTGGAAAAGGCCCAAAATGCACAACTAAAGCCAAGAAATCAGCTGCAGTCCTTTGGAAGAGAGAAAAAATGTACAAACTTTTTTACATGGGAAAACAAAAACGGCCTTGGAAAAGCCGTCAGCCTGAAACACCCGGGTCTGTTGGCAGCAAGAAATAAATACAAGCGTTCGCGGCGGATCGGGAGTCACAGTTCCAGATGCTTCAAGTGTTGCTGGAAGATTTCTTCCGCCCTCTGAAGGTATTCTGCGGTCTTCTTCTTCACCGCTTCCCTGCGGGCTGGGTTAGGATCGCCTGCAAACGGGAAGACATATTGGATGCCATTTTGGCGGCTCTCATTTGGACCCGGAGCCCTCCTCTTTTAACAACCCCCATGTAATCCCTTGTGGCGGGTGGAGTCTGGGCAACTGAATGGAGCTAGCAGGGCGTTTACTGGCCGGATGCCCTTCCTGTTGCCCATGTCCAAAATGTATGTTGTTAAAACTGAGACATTGGTTTTGCCCCATTTTACAACTTCTTTTGCCACCCTTGTCAAGTGAATCGTTGCGGCTGTTAAATTAGGGGCATGGCTGTAACTGGTTTTTTAAGTGAATCTGGCTCCTCCCCTTTGACTTTGCTTGTCAGAAGGTCGCAAAAGGGGGTCACATGACCCCAGGGACACTGAGCCGTCGTAAATCTGACTCAGTTGTTGAGCATCCAAATGTAAATCACGCAACGACGGTGGGGATGCTACGGCGGTCTTCCCTCATGTGAAAAATGGTCCTAAGCCACTTTTTTTGTTAGTGCCATCGTAACTTCGGTCACTAAATGAACTGTTGTAAGTCAAGGACTGCCTGTAACAGAAAACCAGGGATTACAGCTTCGAAGAGCCGTCTTCTCATGGCCTCGGATCAACGGCCACTTTCACACCACATACTCAAACCAGGATTGGTAAAAGACAAAGCAGCTGCATTTGCACGACACAATAAACTTGGTTAAGTGCTGACCTTCCTTAGTAATTTTTCCCCCCTTAGGTCTGCCCAGGATTTTTAAAAGACGGAGCAGCCAAGAACCGCTGGTACCTGGATTAGACTTGGGTTCCGGTTGTGCTCAACGTGTCTTGAGCCTGAATCCGCAGGGGGGAGGATGAGCCGGAGCTGAGGCCGATGGAGACTGAGAGGGCGGCTTCGTTGGCTTCGGAGGAATGTAGGGAGGAGCAGGACGAGGCAGCCCCGGGCCCCTCAGGGTTGGGAGGGCTTGTGAACAGGGAGGAACGGGGGGCAGGACGGCCGAGAGAGGACAGGCAGGAGAAATAAGGAGCAAAGGACCTCCCCAAGCAGGAAGAGTGAAGAGGAGACGGAAGTGTCAACTCAAAAATGCTCCTTTGGTCTTTTTAGTTGCCATCTTCTTTTAACGACTCCATAATCCCTTGCAGGATGGAGGCCGGGCAACTGAATAGAGTGAGCAGAGTATTTACTGGCCGGATGCCTTCCTGTTGCCATTGCGGAGTTTTGTTCAGCAGAGATATATTCTCGTTGTGCCCAGAGAGAGAAATATCTGACCTGGCAACCCAAAGTTGTTGGCGCGCAAGGATATTACTGGAGAGCACGATTGATGGCTCTTGGCTATGGATGTGTCCCATTGGAGAATATACATCCAGGGGGTGGGGGGAAGACCAGGGTCAAGGGGGAAATGGAGGATGCCTTTTAGTATCGGCTGCATCCAGCCAACACATCCACTTCTAATAAATCCATACTCTTTTCTCTGAGATATGGCTAGAGACTTATGATTTGAATGGGGGTGGGTTTCTTGGAGCCCTGACAGCCGGTCAGGCCAACAACTCGGGAGGAGACAGCCGCACCCCTCTTCACGAGGCACGGGGAAGGGAAGATGGAACTCTCCGCTGGCTGTGTGGCCTTCGTGCCTCGTCCCGGGTCATCACACGGCACCCTCTTCAGGAACCAAACTCTCCCCAGTTTGGGAAAAATCCCAGAAGCCGAAGACACCTGCTCCCCCCGCCCCCAAAAACGCAACCTACCTTGCAGACCCTGGAGGAGCAAGTCAACTCCACCGCGGTAGCCGTGAAAAGCCCCCTGGAAGTCTCTGGAGGCTTCGCACAACACGGCTTGCCGAATCCGCTCGATCGCTTGGGGCAGATACCTGCCGGGATCCAACGAGGAGGCACTTTCTACCTCGGGTTTCTGCGTCGGGTCCGCATTGAGCAGGACTTCTGGTTTGGTCTCTGAGGCCTCCAGAGAAGCCAGGCCTTCCCCAAGGGAGAGGCTGGTGGCAGTAGAAGAAGCTGGGTCAGAAGTGTAAGTTTTAGTTTAGTGTCATTGCACCTTGTACAATGAAATTAAATACTATCTTCAGTGTACATGATGACTATGAAAATAAAGCCAAACACACATCCATCACATTCTATACAATTGAATTGAAAACTTCTGATATTGCATTAATATTGTACTCTACAACAGAATTCAGTGGAGTTACTGCCCTGGGATAGAAGCTGTTTTTCAGCCTGTTTGTCCTTGTTTTTATTATCCGGTACCGTCTGCCATGGTAATAGTCCCCAAAAAGGGTGCCCAGGATGAGATGGATCTTTGAGGATGTTTTGAACTTTCTTGAGGCCGCAGGAGCCAGAAAGCTCTTCCAAAGAGGGGAGAGGGCAACCCGTGATCTTCTGGGCAATGACGTTCACCCTCTGGAGCGCCGTCCTATCTGCCCCTGTGCAACTGGTGAACCATACACGGGTGCAGTAAGTTAAGATACTCTCAGCGGTAGAAGGCCACCAGCAGTTTTTCATTCAGTTTTAAAGAAGGAGCTGGCCAGAAGATAAACAAGGATGATAAATGATCTGGAGGCTAAATCGTATGAGGAACGGTTGAGGGGAACTGGGTATGTCTGGTCCTAGGTCTCCAAACTTGGTGGCTTTAAGACTTGTGGTCTACAACTTCCAGAATTCCCCATTCGGTATGGTTGAAGTCCAATTCTGGGAGTTGGAAGTCCACAAGTCTGAAAGTGACCATGTTTGGAGAGTCTGGTTAGTCTAACAAAGAGACAATTAGGGAGGACATGATAGATATGACTTCTAATACTTGTATCTTGGAGTCTGAATCCGAGGAGGAAGACGAACAGCTGACAGGGAGTGGGAGTGGGGCTCCGTTGGCTGTGGAGGAAACTGGGGAAGGGCAAAGTCCTGGGCAGAGCAGGGGGGAGGTAGAACAAGGGAGAGGGAGTTCAGAGGAAGACCCAGGCCCACCTTCTCTTCATCCTAGGGTGCACAGGGAAGAACAGAGAAGAGAGCAACAATGGGTTGCATGGCTTACAGGGGAGGAAAAGGCCCTGATTCCCTTCCTTAACCACAGCTGGGAATGAGAGTTTAAAAGAGATGCATGCTGAGAGCAGTGTTTTCTGGGAGCAAACACGAGTTTATCTTGTATTGACTTTGTTGACCACATTTTGGACTTGATTCTCTGCAGCCAAAGGCTGTTCCTGGGAGAGTTTTTCTCCAGCCAGAAAGTATCCAGGACCTTGGGGGAAAAGTTGGAGCTAATGAAGGGACTCCTTAATTAACTGACTGTGTTGCCCTTGTGCCACGCCCCTTTGGGTCATCACACCTGAGGGGCTGTCACAGACCAGAGTGGAGTGACTTAATCCCCAAAGCACTGGAGGCTGGGACAAAAAATATCGAATGGAAACTTATCACGGTGAGATCCAACCTAGAACTAAAGTGAAATGTCCTGACAGTGAGAACAATTAACCGGTGGAATGTCTTGCCTTCAGAAGTTGTGGATGCCCCGTATCACTGGAGACTTTCCAAAACAGATCGGACAACCATCTGGCTGGGATGGTAGAAGGTCTCCTGCCTTGAGCAGGGGTTAGACTACAAGACCTCTGAGGCCCCTTCCAGCCCTGGGGTTCTATGCCCCATGGGGAGATTCCACCCCTATCAGTGTCTTGGCTCACAGGCCACCATGGCTGTGCATGGACAGGAGCAGTGGTAGGATTCTGTCAGTTTCCCTATCGGTTCGATGATCGCACACTTCCCGCGCACGCATGTGCACGCACCTATTGCGCGCAGCTTTCCAAGCACCAGCTGAGGCGAGAATAAGGAGCAGAAAAGCTCAGGGGCCGGTAGGACGGCCGATCTCCTCTCGTTGTCGGAGCTTTTTCCGCTACTGGTTCGGGTAAACCGGGCTGAACGGTAGCATTTCACCACCGGAGGAGACGTTCCATCTCCTACTTACCTTCTTTGGAGAAGGGGTCAAAAAGGGCTAATTCTTGGACCGATAAGAGGCAGTGAGAAGGCGAGTCATTCTTGGCTTCTTCCTCCTCTTCCTCCCGGAAGGCAAAGAGGGCATCTAGATCTTCCTCTCGTCCCACAGCGTCAGAGGCCCCCTCTGTGGTAGAAGCATCGGTCAGTAGAAGCAGGAGCACAACTCCTAAGTAAACTCCCACCCAGGGTGGAGATTATGGAACCTTAAGATTAGGTTCCCAATGGCTGCAGGGATGCAATTCATCAGACCAAAATGTTGGCAAAGTTTAAGGTGGGTGGACTTCAACTCCCAGAATTCCCCAGAGAGAGAAAGAAGACAGAAAAAAGGAAAAGGAAGGAAGGGAAAGAGAAGGAAGGAAGGGGAAGGAAAGAAGAGAAGGAAGGAGAAAAAGGAAGGAAGGAGGGAGGGAAGGAAGATAGAGAAAGAAGGAAGGCAGAAGAAAAGGAAAAGGAACAAAGGAAGAGAGAAGGAGGGAGGGAGGGGAAGGAAGGGAGAAGGGAGGAAAAAGGCAGAAAAAAGGGAAAGAGAAGGAAGGTGAAGGAAAGAAGGAAGAAGAAAAGGAAGGAGGGAGGGAGGGAGGATAGAGAAAGAAGGAAGGCAGAAAAAAGGAAAATAAAGGAAGAAAGAAGGGAGGAAGGGGCAGGGAAGGAGAGAAGGAAGGAGAAAAGGAAGGAGGGAGGGAGGGAAGGAAGATAGAGAAAGAAGGAAGGCAGCAAAAAGGAAAAGGAACAAAGGAAAAGAGAAGGAGGGAAGGGAGGAAGGGGAAGGAAGAGAAAGAAAGGCAGAAAAAAGGAAGGAAGGGAAAGAGAAGGAAAGGAGAAAAGGAAGGAGGGAGGGAAGGAAGATAGAGAAAGAAGGAAGGCAGAAAAAAAGGAAAAGCAATGAAGGAAAGAAAAGGAAGGTAGGGGAAGGAAAGGAGAGAAGGAAAGAGAAAGAAAGAAGACAGAAAAGAGGAAAAGGAATTAAGGCAGAGAGAAGGAAGGAAGGAGGGGAGGAAGGGGAAGGAGAAAGGAAGGAGAAAGAAAAAGGCAGGAAAAAGGGAAAAGGAAGGAAGGGAGAGAGAAGGAAGGAAATGCTACTTTCATCCTTTCTCATTTTGGAATCAAGAGCCTTAAGGGGGTACCTTGGTTCTCCATTTGGGCCTCAGCGACACCATCTTTATTGGCTGCCTCCGGCTTCGGATCCAGCAGCCCATCATCCTGAACCAGCCCCAGAGCCTCCTCGCCCTGTTCGACTCCTGCCGCGGGCACGGGGATGAGAGGGCGGGGTAGCGATGGGGACTCCCAGTGCCTGGGACAACTCTGCCCCTCTCCGCCCTGGAAGGACACAGCAGCCAGGGAACCGAGTCGCTGAGCTTGCCTTCTACGGGATTTGGGCACAAAGGGGTGTCAAAACCGTAGGCAGTCCTCGACTTACTCCCATAGGGAATAAAGAGTGAAAGGGGAGTGGAGTTTGCAGGAGGCTATTAGTTCGTTTATTTAGTGTGAAGATCTGTTTGTGACTCTCAGAGACTCTTTTTCCCAAGTATTTCCTTGTACAGCGTTGTGCTTGGAAAAGTGGTGGGATTCAAACATTTTTACTACGGGTTCTGTGGGCGTGGCTTGGTGGGCGTGGCTGCAAAATCCCCCTTTCCTCCCCACCTCACTAACCTGCTTTCCAGTTCCGTTCTCCTGGGCAGGGCAATCAAAAGAGACCCAGCCAATCAACTGGGACTCAATGGGAGGCGGAGCATAGATGGGGTGGGGCCAGTCAGAGGTGGGATTTTCCGGTTCTCTGAACTACTCCAAATTTCCACTACCGGCTCTCCAGGACTGGTCAGAACCTGCTGAATTCCCACCTCGGACTTGGAAACTATCAGCCTGGCAACCCTCCAAGCCTGATAAAGGTCTGTGGTCGTAATTCACTCTTGAAAGACTGTTTGCAGGGACTTTGCTAGATGTGAAGGCTAGGAATTCACATTATAGCCTGATAAGAAGAGGTTTTGTCGGCACGAGGAATCTGCCTCATGATTTTGTGAAGCCTGGCTCAGAACAGCCCCCCTGGCAAACCACCATTGCGCAACGCACAGTCGGCCCCCTCCCTCTTTCCCCCACCCAACGTGGCTCTTGTTCCAAAATAAAACGCAGAATAAATAAATGGAGATACCCGGAAGAATTCCTTCAGCTGGGGGCTGTTATTTAAGGCCGGGATGTGTACGGTGAAATGCAGCATATCTTCCGCCGCTTTCCTCCGCTCTTCAATCACCTCGGGGTCGAATCGGCCTATGCAAGATTTGGGAGCAAGGTTTAAGTCTAGTTTATAGGTAAAATTTAATTTATACAAAACACGTGACTATATAGTAACATTCTTCACCTTGATATTCTCCAGATGGGTTGGGAATTGCAATTCCCAAGAGGCCAAAACTAACTGGGAATCCTGCAAACTGTTATCTAAGTGTAACTGGAAAGTCCTGGATTGAGACTGTTATATACCATAGTTATCTTCCAATGAAGTTATCCTCAGAGCCTCGGTGGCGCAGTGGTTAGAGTACAGTACTGCAGACTACTTCTGCTGCCTGCCGGCTGCCTGCAATTTGACAGTTTGAATCTCACCAGGCTCAAGGTTGACTCAGCCTTCCATCCTTCCAAGGGGGGTAAAATGAGGACCCAGATTGTTGGGGGCAAGAGGCTGACTCTGTAAACCGCTTAGAGAGGGCTGGAAAGTACAGTGAAGCGGGATATAAGTCTGAGTGCCATTGCTATTTTCCTTCCTTCCTTCCTTCCTTCCTTCCTTCCTTTCCTTCCAGAATGCGGTACTACAGGTTAACTCTGCACACTGCCAACAGTTTGATCCTGACCAGCTCAAGGTTGACTCAGCCTTTCGTCCTTCCTATGTCAGTTACACGAGGACCCATATTATTGGGGGGAAATAGGCTGACCACTTAGAGAGGGCTGGAAAGCACCATGAAGTGCTATATAAGTCTAAGTGCTCTTGCTATCCCAAGGGAATGTTTGTACAGTGGGGCAACTTCCTGGGTAAAGATTTATAAAATGAAAATCACTTTTACATGCAGCTCAGACCGACTTAATATGCTACTTCATAATACTCCGATCCCGGCACATCATCTCAAGAAGTCTTAACACCCCCTAATCAATATTTACAGAATGCTGAATAGCAAAAGTTGGAAGAGACCCTGGAGCACTGGTGGGATTCAAATTTTTTTTACTGCCGGTTCTGTGGCCGTGGCTTGATGGGGCGTGGCTTGGTGGGCGTGGCAGGGAAAGGATACTGCAAAGTCCCCATTCCGTCCCCACCCCACTAACCTGCTTTCCAGCTCCCTTCTCCTGTGGAAGACAACCAAAGGAGACCCAGCCAATCAGCTGGGATTCGGGAGGCAGAGAACAGATGGAGTTGGCGGGACCAGTCAGAAGTGGCGTTTGCCAGTTCTCCCAACTACTCAAAATTTCCACTACTGGTTCTTGAGAACCAGTCCGAACCGGCTGAAGACCACCTCTGCTTTGGAGGTCAATCCAACCCTCTGCTCAAACAGGAGACCCCAAGAGATTCCTAGTGGCTGGGGATTAGCGGCATTGTAATTCCCAGGAACACAGCCGGTTGGGGGGAAAGGGGAGTTGAAAACACACACACACACACACACACACACACAAAGATCTGGTGATTTCCCCCCACTCCCGGGCTGCAAAACTGGACAAAGGGTCACTGGAGGACTCACCGAAGACCTGGGCTCGCGGGAAAGCGGGGAAATCCTCCATGCGACGGAAGAGATTGCGATGGGTGTACGCCAGGTCTGTGTGCAGTTTCTTAAAGTCGCTGTATCTCTTCCAGACCACAATCTGTGGGATGGGAAGAGATTCAGGCAACGGAGAATTTTGTGGCCTGGGCTACATTTTCTCCAAGCAGGGACTCCTTGCATGTCGGAAGGTGTTTGGAGAAGGGTAGTGCAGTATTTCTAGATGTTAGCAATCTTCAGGTGGGTGGACTTCAACTCCCAGAATTCTCCAGCCAGCCATGATGGCTGGGGAATTCTGGGACTTGAAGTCCAACAATCTTCATGCCCAGTATTTCCTAGCCAAACCACAGACAACTACAATGATCTAGTACATATTGATTTTACAGAATGTTGAAAAAGCACTATGCAATTTAAAACCATCCCTGTCTATTGGACCGGACGGAATATTGTGCCTACTTCTTTAAAAAGCTATCCACTGCCATAGCCAAACCTCTAAGCATGATCTTTGAAAAATCTTTCAGGACCAGCTCCTTGCCTAACCTATGGTCACAAGCCACAGTCATCCCCATCTTCAAAAAGGGAGACCCTTGCCTAGTTGAAAATTACAGACCAATCTCTTTATGCTGCGTCACCTGTAAGTCATGGAATCAATTATTAACCAATCCACCATCCTCCACTTAGAGACAAACAACCTACTCTTTAAGAAACAATTTGGTTTCAGAAAAAATCTATCCTGCAATCTGAAACTCTTACACTGCAAAAACATATGGACGACACAACTCAATCAGGGCAAAGCAATAGACGCAATCTACATAGACTTCTGTAAAGCCTTTGATTCAGTGGTACATGACAAACTACTCCTAAAACTAAAATATTATGGTATCTCTGGACACCTACATAACTGGATAGAAGCATTCCTGTCAAACAGACAACAAATGGTCAAACTTGGGAGCATCCTATCAAATTCTGTACCTGTCAACAGTGGTGTCCCCCAAGGCAGTGTTTTAGGACCAACTCTCTTCAAACTCTACTTAAATGACCTCTGTGATCATATTAAGAGCAACTGCGTTCTCTTCGCTGATGATGTAAAGCTGTTCAACACCACAGACAATACTGCTACCCTTCAAAAAGACCTCGACTATGTATCAGAATGGTCAAACAAATGGCAACTTCAAATCTCAACAGATAAATGCTCTGTCCTACATATTGGCCAAAAAAAAATCAGAAAATAAAATTCAGGCTGAATAGTCAAGGCTTTGTTGATGATCCATACTCTGTCAAGGACCTTGGAGTTCTCATCTCTAATGATCTACGTGCCAGAGCCCACTGTAACTACATAGCCAAAAAGGCGTTAAGAATTTTTAACCTAATCTCACGTAGCTTTTTCTCTGGTAATATCACACTACTAACTAGAGCATACAAAACATTTGCTAGACCAATACTCAAACACAGCCCATCAGTCTGGAACCCGCATTACATATCTGATATTAGCACAGTTGAGAAAGTCCAGAAATATTTCACAAGAAGAGTTCTCTACTCCTCTACTCGTTGCAGAATCCACCAGACTTGAAACTCTAGACCTAGAAAACTTACAACTACGCCGCCTTTGGTCCAATCTAAGTATAGTATATAAAATCATACCTTGCAATGTCCTACCTGTCAATGAATATTTCAGCTTCAACCACAACAACACAAGAGCAAACAATAGATACAAACTCAAGGTTAACCGCACCAAACTTGATTGCAGGAAATATGACTTCAGCAATAACAGAGTGATCAATGTCTGGAATCCTCTACCTGGCTCTGTGGTTTCTTCCCCAAACCCCCAAAACTCTAACCTTAGACTGTCTCCTATTGACCTCACCCCTTTCCTAAGAGGTCTGTAGGGGGCGTGCAGAAGCGCACCAAAATGTGCCTACCGTCCCTGTCCTATTGTGTCTTCTATTTTTATTTTTTATTTTTCTTATATGTATCCATGTATTCATAACTATGTTTTTACTTATACCTATTATTTTGTAAGCAATTAACAAAAATAAATAAATAAATAAAATAAAATAAAACTTGCTAAGATTGAGAAAAATCACTTTTGTGCCTCAGGGAGACCTCATGTCTACACAAACCCCCTTAGGTATAGAACCTCCCTTTCGACAATCTACCTCACAGGGTTGTTGTGATGGAAGAAAGGATGATATGATTGGAAGGGGCTTTAGCAGGGGTGGGATGCTATTGGTTCTGTCTACTTCTGTAGAACCGGTTGCTCTGAAAAGCAGCAAACAGAGAGCATACATAGAACCAGTTCTATGTCTGCTGCTGTTTTGACCCACCCGCCCACCTGGGCTCTTACCTGACCTTTATTTCCTGCATTTTCAACCACAGCTGCTTTGTACGACACAGCTGCAGTTCAAAAAGCAGGAAAAAAGGGCTTTTTCAACCACTGCACACCTGCGCACAGCGCTGCTCAGCTGTCCAGGCAGCTAGATGACCACGATATACACACATGCACAGCAAAATGTAGAATCACCAAACCAGTAGTTATACCGGTCGGATCCCATGCCTGGGCTTTAGAAGTAAATCAATCACAGATGAAGAGAGTTGGAAGGGACCTTGTAGGTCATCTAGTCCAACCCACTACCCAAGCAGGAGACCCTACACCATTTCTGACAGAGGGCAGCCCAGTCTCTTCTTGAAAGCTTCCAAGCTCCCACACCTTCTGAGGGCAACTTCTGTTCCATGGGTTGACTGTTCTCACTATCAGAAAAGTTCTCCTTATTTCCAGGTTGAATCTCTCCTTGATTGGTTTCCATCCATTATTTCATGTCTGGGTGCCTTGGAAAACACCTTGACCCCTTTCTCCTCTGTGGGGCAGCCCCTCAAATATTGGAAGGCTGCTCTCCTGTCTCCCCTGGTCCTTCTCTTCCCGAGACTAGCCAGGCCCAGTTCCTGCAACCGTTCGTCGGATGTTTGAGCCTCCAGTCCCCGCATCATCCTGGTTGCTCTTCTCTGCTCTCTTTCTAGAGTCTCAATGTCTTTTTTATACCGTGGTGGCCAAAACTGGATGCAGTACTCCAGGTGTGGCCTTACTAAGGCTTTATGGAGTGGTATTAGTATCTCACTTGAGCTTGATTGCATCCCTCTGTTAATGCAGTTTAGGATTGCATTGGCTTTTTTGGCTGCCACCGTCTCTTAGTCACTATTCCAGACTTTCTTTGGGCTTGAAGGGACACCTACATGTGATCACAGAGAGAATAACTGAACAGAATAATAGAACTGGAAGGGACCTTGGAGGTCTTCTAGTCCAACCCCTTGCTCAAGCAGACGACCCTAGACCATTGTAGAGAAATGGCTGTCCAGTCTCTTTTTGAAAGCCTCCAGGGATGGAGCCCCCCCTACTTCTGAAGGGAACCACAGCCCTGGTTGCCTGTCCTCTGTGGGTCAACTGAACACAGAACATGATCCTAGAATACAGAAAAGGGAGAAGCCCACTATATGCTTATGGCAGATAAACCCAGCAAATTAACTACTAAGTGTATTTATTCTGTGGCAATCTGCAGAGGAAATATCTCCTACGAGGAGAATAACCGCTTTGTTCTTAGAATGCATGATTCTTGCTCACATTCACGGGACTTTTTGTTTCCCTGTAAAAAAAATCTGCTTTTCTCTTTCTTGCTCCTTTAATATGTCTCACTTAGCAAGGAAAAAATTGGGGTTGGTTGTGCTTATATGGCGAGGACTGCCTGTTTATGTAAACCAAGATTCATAGTATTAAGTCGAGCCAGGTGTGTTGCTGCAACAGAGATTTGCAACTGACCGGGGTCAGTGTCCTTGGAGAATTGGCACCACCAGGCATTGGCCAAACCCCGGAAAAGGCCGCTGCTATGAACCCAGCCGCTAAGCTCTTGCACCGGCCCACCCCCACATCTTGGGACAGCATGTTGTGGTAAAAACAGGCAAGAAAAACAAAATGCGTAAGTACAGTATAGATCAGGGGGCTTAAAACTTGACTTGTGGACTTCCACTCCCAGAATTCCTCCCCCTCCAGTCATGTTAGCTCAGGAATTCTGGGAGTTGAAGTCTACAGATCTTAAAGCTGTCAAGTTTGAAGACCCTTGTGATAGATGGTAGATAGATAGATAGATAGATGATAGATAGATGATGATGATAGATAGATAGATAGATAGATAGATAGATAGATAGACAGACAGACTGCTCCAAAAAATAAAGGGAACACAAAAATAAGACATCCTTGATCTGAATGAATGAAATATTCTCATTAAATACTTTGTTCATTACATAGTTGAATGTGCTGACAACAAAATCACACAAAAATTATCAATGGAAATCGAATTTAGCAACCCATGGAGGTCTGGATTTGGAGTTACACTCAAAATTAAAGTGGAAAAAAACACTACAGGGTGATCCAACTTTGATGTAATGTCCTTAAATCAAGTCAAAATGAGGCTCAGTAGTGTGTGTGGCCTCCACGTGCCTGTATGACCTCCCTACAATGCGTGGGCATGCTCCTGATGAGGTGGCGGATGGTCTCCTGAGGGATCTCCTCCCACACCTAGACTAAAGCATCCCCCAACTCCTGGACAGTCTGTGGTGCAATGTGGCGTTGGTGGATGGAGTGAGACATGATGTCCCAGATGTGCTCAACTGGATTCAGGTCCGGGGAACGAGCGGGCCAGTCCATAGCATCAATGCCTTCGTCTTGCAGGAACTGCTGACACAATCCAGCCACATGAACTCCAGCATTGTCTTGCATTAGGAGGAACCCAGGGCTAACTGCACCAGCATATGGTCTCACAAGGGTTCCGAGGATCTCATCTCGGTACCTAATGGCAGTCAGGCTACCTCTGGCGAGCACATGGAGGGCTGTGCAGCCCCCTAAAGAAATGCCACCCCACACCATTACTGACCCACTGCCAAACCGGTCATGCTGGAGGATGTTGCAGGCAGCAGAACGTTCTCCATGGCGTCTCTAGACCCTGTCACGTCTGTCACATGTGCTCAGTGTGAACCTGCTTTCATCTGTGAAGAGCACAGGGCGCCAGTGGCAAATTTGCCAATCTTGGCGTTCTCTGGCAAATGCCAAATGTCCTGCATGGTGCTGGGCTGTAAGCACAACCCCCACCTGTGGACGTCGGGCCCTCATACCACCCTCATGGAGTCTGTTTCTGACCATTTCAGCAGCCACATGCACATTTGTGGCCCGCTGGAGATCATTTTGCAGGGCTCTGGCAGTGCTCCTCCTGTCCCTCCTTGCACAAAAGCAGAGGTAGCGGTCCTGATGCTGGGTTGTTGCCCTCCTACGGCCTCCTCCACGTCTCCTGATGTACTGGCCTGTCTCCTGGTAGCGCCTCCATGCTCTGGACACTACGCTGACAGACACAGCAAACCTTCTTGCCACAGCTCGCATTGATGTGCCATCCTGGATGAGCTGCACTACCTGAGCCACTTGTGTGGGTTGTAGACTCCGTCTCATGCTACCACTAGAGTGAAAGCACCGCCAGCATTCAAAAGTGACCAAACCATCAGCCAGAAAGCATAGGAACTGAGAAGTGGTCTGTGGTCTGCAGAACCACTCCTTTATTGGGGATGTCTTGCTACCTGCCTCTGCTTTCCACCTGTTGTCTATTCCATTTGCACAACAGCACGTGAAATTGATTGTCAATCAATGTTGCTACCTAAGTGGACAGTTTGATTTCACAGAAGTGGGATTGACTTGGAGTTACATTGTGTTGTTTAAGTGTTCCCTTTATTTTTTTGAGCAGTGTATATACATACATAGATGATAGATTGATAGATAGGTAAATAGGTAGGTAGGTATGGAGAGAGAGAGAGATGATAGATCAGGGATCTTCAAACTTGACAACTTTAAGACTTGTGGACTTCGACTCCCAGAATTCCTCCTCCAGTCATGTTAGCTTAGGAATTCTGGGAGTAGAAGTCCACAAATCTTAAACTTGCCAAGTTTGAAGACCCTTGGTATAGATGGTATCAGGCTCATTAGTAGTAACAGTGAGAGGGATCTTAGAGGCCTAGTGGACGATCACTTAAATATGAGCCAGCCATGTGCTGCAGCTGCCAAAGAAACCAACGTAGGCTGCATAAACAGAGAAATAGAATCAAGATCACGTCAAGTGTTAATGTCACTTTATAATGGCCTTGGTAAGGCCACACTTAGAATGTTGCACCCAGTTTTGGTCGCCACGATGTAAAAAAGATGTTGAGACTCCGCAAAGAGTGCAGAGAAGAGCAACAAAGATGATGAGGGGACTGGAAGATAAAACATACGATGTACAGTTGCAAGAACTGGGTATGTCTACTTTAGTGGTGGCTAATCTTTTTGGGCTCCTGTGCCACAAATTACATGTGCTCTTGCACTCGCACACTTGCCTGCCAGCACCCAGAAGGCAATGCGCCCCCCCCTTGTGCATGTGTGCGTGAGTCCCCCCACGCCGCCCCCTTACCTGCATTGCGCCTCCCAGCTGATTTTTGGCGTGTTTGAGGCCTTTTTCGCCCTGACAGAGGCTTGAGGGAAGCCTCTGCAGGCTTTGCAGGCCGAAAAATGGGCCCGTTTCATCGCTTCCCGTATTTCTGGAAATACCAGAAGTGACAAAACGGGCCTATTTTTTGGTCTGCAAAGCCTGCAGAGGCTTCCCTCAAGCCTCTAGCAGGGCGAAAAAGGCCTGGAAATCAGCTGGGAGGCACACGCATGTGCAGTGAGGTCAATTTGCCTAGGGCTCGCGTGCCTGCACAAATGGCTCTGCGCCCCACCTGTGGCATGCATGCCATAGGTTTGCCATCACGGGTCTAGTTTGATGAAAAAAAGGACTGGGGGGGGGGCATGATAGCTGTCTTCCAAAATTTGAGGGGCTGCCCCAAAGAAGAAGAGGGGGTCAAGCTATTCTCCAAAGCACCTGAGAGTAGAACAAGAAGCAATGGGTGGAAATTAATCAAGGAGAAAAGCAACTTAGAAGTAAGGAGAAACTTCCTAATAGTGAGAACAATTAATCAGTGGAACAACTTGCCTCCAGAAGTTGTGGATGCTCCAACACTGGAAGCTTTTAAGAAGAAACTGGACAGCCTCTTGTCTGAAATGGTATGATCTCCTGCTTGAGCAGGGGGTTGGACTGGATGATCTCCAAGGTTCCTCCCCGCTCTGTTATTCTGTTCTGTTCTGAAAGGTTTCTCCTCCCTTCCCTTGACAGCGTCTACGTACCTCCTTGGTATCATCTGGGTTCGCCTTTGAGACAAACTGGAAGGAAAGAGAGAAACAAAAAAGTTAAGAGAGAAATGACCAAAAAAGTTAAAAATCGGGGCCTGGCCAAGGTTTTGCCCTCCCTGATGGCCGGGGAATGCCAGGAATGGCAGAGGTGCCATCCGACTCCAGGGGGGGGGGGGAGAGGGCAGAGCAGGATGCCAGCTCAGGGCCAGCTCCCTCCTGCCTGTCCAGATGTTCTCTGGGGGGCCCAGCAATTGCAGCCTGGGGGCAGAGATTCCCAGCCCACCCGCAATCTCCCCCCCAGACCCATCCACTGGCAGCCCCCAATTGCACCGGCTGGCAACTGCATTACACACCCACTCCTCTGCCAAGGGACAGGCCGGGGAGGGGGAGGGTCCTGTTTGGGCTTGGACTAAAAGGCCGCCAAGCTCTCCTCCCCCCTCTGTGATTCTGTCATTTATTGACGCAGCCCCCAACCCCTTTTGCAAAAATAAAGAAAAATAATAAACGCAGAAGGGGAACCAGCGCCTTCCCCGGCTCTCTGCACATGCTCCTGAAACTCCCTCCTTTGCTTCTCCGGCTGCACCCGCATTTTGTACGGGCTTGGGGTCTGGGGGCCAAGCGAGGTCCTCCCTCCCCGGCCCTGCCTGCTAATGCAACCCCTTTTCCTCACTTTGGCCGTGACTTTGTATTCCGTGTAGCCTTTGGGGTGGCTGCGGGGGTCGCTGACCGCGTAGGAGCGCTGGAACTCCTCCTTCGCCCGGCGGGACATCCCGGCGGCTTTTTCGGCGACGCGGCCCCTTTAAATCCAGGGCTGCGGCCGGAGAGGAGAAAGTCCGCGCGCCGCCGGAGGTGGGGGGCGGCGGCGGGGGGGGGGGAAATGCCTCCTCCCGCAGGGCGCATGCGCATCCATGCCTTCCTCGCTCGCCGCCATCCAAGGGAGTGTCTGCAAAGGACCATCCTGCGACTCCGGCGTTTAGGGACCGGGGGCCAATATCCCCGCTTGGGCCAAAAGCGAACGAGGGCTGGATTTCGCCGCTTTCTTTCTCCAACCTGGCGCCCATCAGGGGACCTTTGCAAAGAAGGACCACTCCCCAAATGCCAAAGCGGGGTCGGGAATCGGGGAGGTTGGGCTTCCCACCAGCAGCTCAAGCTGCGTTTCTCAAACTTTCACCTGGGGAGGAATGGTCCAGATTGTCTTCTTTTATGCTTGTGTTTATAATTATAACTCGCTCTTATACCCGTGCTTCGCTACGAAACTATGTGGTCGGGCTTAGTTCTGGGGGAGGAAAATAGGGGTGGGTGGGAATTCTGCCTCTGCCTACTGACATCCCCAGGTATTCATCTGGCTAGCCTCCTGTCAGTGTGTGAGAGTTGAGGGCTGTTTGGAAATTGAAACAGCATTTGCTGTATGAGCAAGGAGACAGCAAGGAGCCTGGGCGTGGCTTAGCTCCACTGTTCTGGACTAAAGCTGCTTGGTGTTCTGAAACTGAAACTCCTCTGCTTGTGTTTTGCCTTTGGGAGAGATTTCTTTTCAGGTGGGGAGGGGGAGTAGAACTCCTTAGCATCAGAGCGTGTTAATAATAGTAATAATATAGGAAATACTCTAAATGCTCTGATGGTCATTTTGAAAAATCCTTTCTTAATGAGTCCCTAGAAGCCAAGAGCTACGTGTCAAATTTCAAGTTTGTAGGCTTTACAGTTCTGGAGATTTTGTGATGATGCCCGAGTGGCATTTCGCTTTTATATATATAGATTGGTCAAACCAAAATGAAAACACGAATAATATAAAATTGTGGAAGGGGGACAGGATGCAAATCTTGAAAATAAATAAATAAATGCAAGGGATCCTCAGTTTACGGCCATGGAGCCCAAACCTTCTATGGTTAAGTGAGACAGTTGGTTAATGAGCTTCATTTGCCTTGTTTTACGACACTTTCTTGCCACCGTGGTTAAGTGGATCACTGCAGTTGTTCGCTTAGTATAACACGATTGTTAAAGGGAAACCTGGATTCCTCACTGGCTTTGCTTGTCAGGGATCACATAACCACGGGACACAATCTGTAACCGTCGTAAATATGAGTCAGTGGCCAGCATCCAAGTTTTGATCATCTGACGATAGGGAGGCTGCAGCGATCGTAAGTGTGGAAAACGGTCATAAGTCATTTTCCCAGTGCTGTTTTAACTTGGAACGGTCACTACATGAATTGTTGTAAGTTTAGGACTATCTGTATGCCAAACCCACCATGGAAGAGGAGGGTCACCCCATGCCGGCTGGGGAATTCTGGGAGTTGAAGTCCACCCATCTTTAAGGGATCGAAGTTGAGATACACCCATCTAAGAGATTGCCAGGCAGGAAAAAGCTTATCTGTCCCAACCTCTCTTTTATTAGAGATGCGGGAAAAACTTTCAAAATTGAAAATACGTTTTCCTGTTTCTGGGATTTAATAAGCGGATTTGCTTCCCTCTCCAAAGTAGGATTACAGTTATTTCAATGTTCTTATGACCCTGGGGACGGGGGACAGTTACGCAACATGGAAAAAAGATTATTTTACAGCCATAAATAAAGCAAATAATGAAACACACATGCAGGGCTTCAGATTCAAATAAAAAATAAATAAACAAACTGGTCAGCTGGTTGATGTGGATGAAATTCTAAGCGCAGAAGCTGTTCCCAGAAATTTTTCTGCTTCAAAAAAAATTGTTTGGTTTGGTTTAAAGTTTTAGCCTCGCCCTCCTAAACATAGGTCGACTTCCTTTTTTAACCCCCAAGGATGCTTAGCACAATATGGTTAAACAAACTCATTTTTAGACCAGAAAAAAAACAGTCCAGCTTTGCAATCAGGGGCTAACCATGAAACAAACTAACCGACTTAAGAAACTACCAAGTTTTTAGGAGCGTGAATCTAATCCCTCCCAAACCAGTTGTGGGAATACAGCTAAACCTGCTTTAGCAAACCTTGAATCCAGAACAGGAGTGAACAGACTCCAGCCACACACAAGCTGACTCCAAAATCACCTGACTCTCTTTAAAACAGCCACAGCTTTATTGGTGTGCTCTTAACACAATCCTCTGTGGAGAAAATACAATCCTCTGTGGAGAAGCGAAGATAGTAAAAGACCAGTGGATTTCTCGCCCCCCCCCCCGCCCCCCAGCCACAGGATTGATGCCACAGGCCACACCAAATACAAACACTGATTTTTGCACTGGACGTTGCTTCAAACTGGACCCAGATCCAGGGACAAAGATGGGCCTTTAAGCAGCGGTTAAATCTCTAAATCAGTGTTTTTCAATCTTGGCCGCTGGAAGATGGGTGGACTTCAACTCCCAGAATTCCCCAGACAGCAGTGCTATCTGGGGAATTCTGGGAGTGGAAGTCCACCCAGTTGCCTGGGGAATTCTGGGAGTTTAAGTCCACCCATCTTCCAGCGGCCAAGACTGAGAAACACTCTTAGATCCTCTCAATCCGCGGTGAATATCCGGCTTGAGATGTCATCCAACAGCCAATCGATGCCCGCCAGTAGATTTTCCCCAGTGTAAGCACTGCAACCTCGGATGCACCAATGGTGGGTCTGGATGCTGTCCAGGTCCAGGGCCTGGGGAGGAAGCAAAGAGAAAAATCAGAAAATCCCCCTCCCGTGCAAGGGTCCCCTATTCTCTGGACTGTTGTGGCCTGTGGGCTGCTGGCCCTCCAGCAGCTGAATGAGAGGAGGAGGAGGAGGAGGAGGAGGTGGTGGTGGTGTGGTGGAAGTCAGGGCATCAGGGCAACCCGAGAGCTCCAAGAGGGAATGGAGCTGGCAGAGAGAGAGAGAGACGGAGGCGGAGCCTGGGCCGTCCGTCAACCCTCAGACAGAGAGTCAACAGCCCCCCAGGTCTGGAGGGGGCTGATGAGGAAGAGGAGGAACAGCTGGGTCCGGTGCCTGACAGAAGGCAGAGGAGAGGAGAGCAGTGGAAATCTATGGGCCGGTCCTTGGGACAGAAGAGCCACCGCTGCTAGCGAAGTCCCACCCGAGCTCTGGGATCAAAGGCAGTGGGGGGGCGGAGAGGAATAGGGGTGGCAGACAACGATGCATCTCCCTGCCAGACGGACTTGTTAGCCTGCCGTGAGAGAGAGAAAATTTTCCGGGGCTGCTGGCACTCCTAATAAAGGAATCTTTTGAGTTCACTTCTGAGGGTGGGTCATGTTTGGGGAGCTGAGTCAGAACACTGGAGTTATTTTTTTTTGTTCTGTATTTTTTTTTCCTTCACCACACCAGTAATAAAAAACTGAACCGTAATTTAGCAATATAAACATATTAGACTATATTGTTCCCGTATCAACAATGTGTGTGTTCGTGTGCATACAATTACCTTGTCAAATGGCAATTTAATTTACATTGCTATATCACACCTCATCTTGCTTTTTAAAAATCATTCCACTTGTGTTCTGGAAGTTGAATAAAGTACGTTTTTTAAAAAAGAAGAAATGTAGTAGTCCTTGCTACACCTGGCAACTGACTCCCATTTATGATGGTTCCTGTGTCCCAAGGCTGTGCGATCCCCTTTTGCAAACATCGGACAAATGGAGTCAATGGGGAAAGCCGGATTGACTTAACAAATGCAGCGATTCACTTAACGAAGGTGGCAAGAAAAGCCGTAAAATGGTGGTTGCCCTTGCAGCGAGGAGCCGGGAGTCGTGGTGGTGGAGGCAAAACAATTCAATAAATAAGTACACAAACAACCATGGTGCTTACCTCCTGGATGGCGCTGGGACTTAACGCACCTGGCAGGTCCTGCTTATTGGCAAAGATGAGAAGGGTGGCCCCGGCCAAGCGCTGTGCAGAGAAAGAGAGAGAAAAGCCAACAAATGACCCGAATCTTCTTGTTCCACCCCATGTTCTGAGCAAAGGCTTCCTGAGACCGTAATTAAGCACACGCTTAAAACAACTCTTGTTTTATTTCAACGCAGGGAATTATGTTCATTCCCCGCCCATAATGAGTCTCAAATAGTCCCTCGAGATAAGCACCCACCTTTCTCGCCTTTGAATTGCTGCCAACAACTAAAGTGCCAAATGAACTGTAAAAAACCAACCGAAGTCCAAGTCCACACAGAGCTTCAAGGTTGAATCTGAACCAAGCGAACGACTTTGCTTCCTTTTGTCACCTTTGCTGTCCTTTATCCCTTAGGGGAGGGGCCATCACCTCTCAGCCTTACTCCCGAGTCGCTCCTTTTGTCTCAGCTGCTCTGGCCTTCTAGAAGTTCTGTGCACACGCGCACTGGGAACAGGCTCCCCTTGTTCCTCTGCCTCGCTGCTGCCAGGCTCCGAAGGCTCCAGCGGCCGCACGTATCTCCCAGATGGTCCTGGCCCCATCCCTGCATCGGCCGCAGGACCCTTGTCCAGACCCTCCCCAGACTCCTGGACTGGTCCCCGTTCTTCCCCAGTGTCCGATTCCGCTGCCGTCTGCACCGGCTGCCGGAAAACCAGAACCCCCAACGGCTTTCTGAAGCTAACAGGGGTCAGCACCCCAAATGCCCATTTTGGGAACTGCAGTCCTAAGAAACGGGATCCGAGGTGGGGCAGCCGGGCCAATTCTTCCCCTGGACGGAGGAGAGCGGAGGCGTTGCCGGGGAAGCGTGGTTCAACTTTACGATGGGCGGGACTTCAACTCCCAGAATCCCCCAGCTTGGCCTAGAAGGTAGAGAGTTCCCAGCCTTTTGCTGGGTTGGGCCACAAACACAGCACAGTCCCAAATAGGTTTCCTCAACGGCTTCTCAGCAGATGCTCCGCCATGCTGGAGTTGGTTAGGGACTGGATGGGGGACCACAAGAAAACCACGGGGGCGGAGACTACATTGCCAAGAATATTTTTTGATATTTATTTGTATACTGCCTTTATTTTTTTACAAATAATAACGCAAAGTGGAAAACATACCCAACACATTTTCCTCTTCCTATTTTCCCCACAACAACCCTGTGAAGTGGGCTGGGCTGAGAGAGAGGGACTGGCTCAGAGTCACCCAGTCAGCTTTCATGATTAAGGTGGGACGAGAACTCCCCGTCTCCCGCTATCTTTGCGAGATAAAACTGGTTATAAATAACTGGTTATACATTTGTATCTATGAAGCGACTGGGAGTCAAGGAATTGTGGGAACCTCTTCAAAGTTCCCACGATTGAGGCTCCAGAGGTTTGGGGGAAATCTGCCATAAAATCCCCATAATTCTCTGCCCCGGCCAAGGAATTCTGGGAGTGGAGGCCTCCAAGATGCTGGAAGGCTTGCAATGGCCCCCTCCCATTCCAGGGGAAGCTGCCCCTCCCCTCCCCGCCCCCCTGACGAGGTTGCCCACCTCTTCCACCAGGAGGGTCTCCAACTCCTTCTTGCAGTCCTCCATCCGCTGGTGGTCGGCGCTATCCACCACCCAGATGAGCCCATCGGTGCTCTCAAAATAGTTGCGCCAGTAGGAGCGCAGGGATTTCTGGCCCCCGACGTCCCACATGTTCAGCTTGAACCTGTGGGGGGTGGGGAGAGAGAGAGAGAGAGAGGCATGGCAGAGGTGGCAGTGCCAGGCCAAAGGGCCCCGGGAAGAGGAAGAGGAGGCGGCGGAGGAGGAGGAGGAGAGGGAGGCGGCATCCTCACCCGCGGTGCTCCAGGGTCTTGATGTTGAAGCCCAGCGTGGGCGAGATGGTGTCGATCTCGTCCCCATTGAACTTTTTCAGGATGGTGGTTTTGCCGGCGTTGTCCAGGCCCCTCGGGGTGGGACCGAGTCAAGGGCCACAAGCCAACGGTGTTTCAAAGCAGGGCAGCAGGAAAGGAACGTGCCAAGCTCCTGGCAAAGGAAAGCTGCAGAGCAAGGAAATGCATGCCTCCCTAACAGAATAACAGAGTCGGAAGGGACCTGGGAGCTCATCTAGCCCTACCCCACTGCCCAAGCAGGAGACCTTGCACCATTTCTGACAAGATGGCAGGCCAGTCTTTTCTTGAAAGCCTCCAGGGATGAAGCTCCCACAATTTCTGAATAACAGAATGATAACAGATTAACAGAGTTGGAAGGGGCCTTGGAGGTCATCTAGTCCAACCCCTCGCCCACCCAAGCAGGAGACCCTACACCCTTTCTGACAAGTGGCACTCCAGTCTCTTCTGGAAAGCTTCCAGGGATGAAGCTCCCCACCCCCACCTCAAGCATTTCTCCTCCCCTAAACTTAAGGGCAAGCGTGCCTGGGAAGCCCAGAGCATGCAGAGACTGAGCCCAAAGCACTCTGTCCATGCACAGGGGGCACTCTAGACCAGGCGAGTTGAGAAATGGGAAACGCCGCCTGGGGAGGGAGCGCAGCCCGAAGCAGCTCCTCTTTCCTGGGATGCCAAGTCAGAGGCGCTCCCCGCCTTTCCCAGCTCCCCCCCCCCAAATCCCGGTTTCTCCCCCGCCCATTGTTCCTTTTTTCCTCGCGGAAGGATACAGCATCAGCAGCCGCAGCTCCCGCTCCTTTTGCCGCATCTTCTTCAAGATGCTCAGCAGCCCCATCGCCCGCGCGGAAGCTCTGCCCGCGCCCCGCCCACCGCCGGGATACCGCGCGCGGCCCCGCCCCTCAGAACTCCGCCTCCGCCAATCAGAAAGGCCGGGGGGCGGTCCCGGCTTGGAGAAGACCATCCAGGGTGGGGGAATGTGTAATTTATATACTTCCGGCTCTCAATCGCAATTCTGCTGGTTCCTGACATGGCAGCGAAGGGGCTTTGAGTGAAGCAATTAATGCACACTGACTAGAAGACCTCTAAGGTCCCTTTGTTATTTTGTTAAATCTCTTTGCTGCCATCTGCACAACGTCTCTACACAACTGTGTGTACATCTGTACAATTGTGTATATATAGTTGCATCTATACAATTGTGTGCATCGAATTTTTAAATTTATTTGTATTTTAAAGTTTCAAAATTTCACTAAAGGTTAAAAAAAACCATTGCGTGCATCTATACAATTATAGAGTAATATAACTATAGAGACTTTGTGTAGATGGCAGCAAAGAGATTTAACAAAATAACAAAGGAACCTTAGAGGTCTTCTAGTCTAACCCCCACACACACACACACACACACACAAGCAGAAGAACCTAGACTTTGAGAGAGCAGTTATGCATAATTTGTGTGAATACTGCCTGGGTGTTTGAAAGTTTTTGGTCTACTCAGAAAAATTAATTTGATATTTTCAAATGGGTGGAATATTTAGTGATTTAGTCAGGTTTTCCACCGCCTGTGCAGCTTTCACTTCAAAAGGAACCTGAAGTCGAATCTGCCCTCAAGTAGGACCGCACCCCTTTTGCTTCCCTGGCCATTCAACGGCCAGTCCCGCCCCCTTCCGGGTAAAGAAGACGAATCGCCAAGTGGGAGGATTGTTAAAGCTACCGCAATGTAGATCAGCGAAACTTAAAGAGATACGTGCTGTTGCATTGAGAGTTTAAAAAGATTTTTTTTTTTTGCCGGAGGGAAGAGACCATAAGAAATTAGGAAGGAAAAAACTTCTCAATTTGTCTCAATTCACTTTTTATAACGTTTATTTAATGCAAAATAAGCAAAGAGAGATGTGCGTTGATGAAATTGCTCAGAAAAGGTATCCAAGTTGGTTTACATTTAAAAAGCACACAATTGCAAAGCAGATCTTCATATTTCATTGGCTAAAAATTGGCAATCTCCAAACTTGGCAACTTGTTAAGACTTGTGGATTTCAACTCCCAGAATTCCCCAGTCATCGTGGACTGCATACATGGAATACAGAACCCCAAGCTGGCTGGGGAATTCTGGGAGTTGAAGTCCCCAAGTGCCTTAAGGTCGTTTGTCATGCCCCTGGTGGAGGCTGACTCTGAGGAAGAGGAGGAACAGCCAACAGGGAGTGGAAGTGTGGCTCCAGAGGTGGTGGAGGAGGCTGGGGAAGGGCAGAGGCCGGCTGAACAGTCAGAGGAGGACCCAGGCCGATCTCCTCTTCATCCTAGGGTATGCAGGGAGGAATGGAGAAGGGAACAACTTGGCTTACGAGAGAGGAAGCGGCCATGATCCTCTTCATGGGTTGCAGGTATGTGATTTGCAGAAGAGTTTGGACCTGCGTGCTAACAGACGCTGGAGACAAATTAGTGTTTTCCTTGGATGAACTTTATCTTTCTTTACCGTATTTCCCCATGTATAAGCCACCCCTTTTTTCCAAAATTTTCAAGCCCAAAAAGTAGGGGGGTGGCATATACAAAGCAGGTACACTTTTTATACGTGAAAAATGCATAAAATAATAAAGTAGGAATAAACTGGTTTTCCAGCAGTATGCTATACTTTTTTGTAAAAATTGTACGTGATGATACGATTACGAGTGCGAGTACGCGATAGAAATGCATACGCTAGGCATCGGCCTGAATGCTTCGTTCCTACTCTCGTTCCGATGCGTAGATTGCTAGCGTCGCCCGCACCGCTTTCGGCGTCATGACCGAAGTTGTAGATCTAGACGTCGAATTTTGTTTCTTTGTAAATTTTCTTTCTTCATAACTTGTTTCTCTAATAAAATATTTTTCTCAAAACTTCAGTCCAAAAATTGGGGGGGTGGCTTATACAAAGGGGGTGCTTATACATGGGGAAATACGGTATTTCTATCTTTATCTTTATTTCTATCTTTTTTTAAATTTTTATCTTTATTTCTTCTGTTATCTTCCTGGAATGTGTGATTAATTATCTTGGTTTGTCTTGGAACTCTCGTCAATACGGTTTCCTTTTGCTTCATTATCTACGATGGTCCCGCATTTGGCAAGAGATGGGGCCAGGGCCATCTGAGAGTGGGATGCTGACTCCAGAGCCTCCAGAATCTGACATCAGCGAGGCAGAGGAGCAGCAGGAGCCTGTTCCCAGTGTGCACATGCGCAGAGCTGCCAGAGGCCAAGAACAGTTAAGACAAAGGAGTAAGGTTTGAAGATGATTGGCCCCTCCCATAAGACATAAAGGAGGAGCAAAAGGACAGGAACCTTTGCAGGAAACAACTTCGTTTTGTTCAGTTTAAAATCTGCAGCTCTGTGTGGACTTTGTGCTCCGTTTGGCCTTGAACACCTAATTGGCAATTTAGTCATTGGCAGCCTTTCAAGGGAGATAAAGGTGAGTGCTGATCAGCCTTATCCCAAAGGACTGTGGCAGACTTCTGTGGGACTATTCACAAACTGTTTGAGATTCATTATGGTGTGTGAATGCATATAATTCACAGCTGTTGAAATAAAAACAAGGTTTTTGGGAACAGCCTGTGATTGTTACTGTCTCAGGAAGCCTTGGTCAGAACAGGTTGTTGAGGTGCTTCAAAAGTTGATGCAATGTGTGGACTTCAAATTTCAGAATCCAATTCCCCTATGCTGGATGGAGAATTGGATCCACAATACAGGCAGTCCTTGACTTATGACCACAATTGAGCCCAACATTTCTGTTATTAAGGGAGACCATTGAGTTTTGCCCCACTTTATGGCCTTTATTGACAGTTGTTCAGTGAAACACTGCCATTAAGTTAGTAGCATGATGGTTAAGTGAATCTGGCTTCCTCAATTCTGAGTCCAAAATTTCTGTTAAGTGACACACTTGTTGAGTTTTGCCCCATTTTACAATCTTTCTTGCCACCGTTGTTACGTGAATCACTGCAGTTGTTCAGTTAGTCACCCGGTCGTTAAGTGAATCTGGCTTCCCTGTTGACTTTGCTTGTCAGGTCACAAAAGGGGATCTCGTGACCCTGGAAACACTGCAACCGTCATAAATGTGAGTCAGTTGCCAAGTACGTGAATTTTGATCATGTGACTGTGAGGATATTGTATCAGTTATGTAAAGAAAACCTGGTCATAAGTCACTTTTTTCAGTGCTATGATAACTTTGGTCACTAAATGAATTGTTGTAAATTGAGGACTACCTGTGTTGCATGCATGTTCTTTCAAGGGTATTTTTCTCAGCATTATTTGGGGTTTTATCACAATTGATTGGCGGCGTCTTAGTCTACATATTCTGTTCTGTTCTGTCCTGTCCTAAGCTTCCCCAAAAAGCACTAAGCCCCGTGATGGTGAACCTTTGTGTTGGGGTGTGCCATAAGCGTGTGCCGGCACCCACAATGCAATGCCCCCCCCCCCGTGCATACGCGCACAACACCCCCGCCCCACCCCCTTTCCTGCACTGCACATCCCAGCTGATTTTTGGCCCATTTGAGGCCATTTCTGCATTCCCGGAGACTCGAGGGAAGCCTCTGCAGCCTCAGGAGGCCGAAAAATGGGCCTTCAGGAAATACTGAAAGTGCCCGTTTTCAGCCTCCGGAGAGCCTCTGGAGCCTTGGGAGGCTGAAAACAGGCCCGTTTTGGCACTTCCGGAAGGCCTGTTTTTTGGCCTCCCGAGGCTGCAGGCTTCCCTCGAGCCTCCAGGAAGGCGAAAATGGCCTCAAACGTGCCACCTGTGGCACATGTGCCCCATAGGTTCGCCATCACAACACTAAGCCAACTCTGAGTCTTCTTTCGCATAGTTTTGTAGTGAAACACAGGTATCGAGCTAGTAATAAATACTCCAGACTCTGGATATGGAAGTTTTCTCTTTTAAGGGTGGCTTTGTTCCATTCTTTAAAAAAAAAACTGAGGCAGAACGTTCCACTGGCTAACCGCAATGTTTTTATTTGGTTTGCAGCTCAAGTCTCTTCTACTAACCTACACCTGGCCATGGATGCTGGGAGTTGTAGTTCATCAACACTAGCGTCCAGAGTGCAGCCATGCGGAGTTTGATGAAATACACGTTCTCCACCTTTGAACTACTGAGCAAAGACAGCCACATCTGGAAAACCTGACCAAGTTCAACCCCAATAGAATAAAATAAATTGTAGTGGGAATTTAGTGCTGGCTTTTCTCACGAACAAAACAGGGCATTGCAGCCCCAAAATAGCCATGACTAGAACTAGTGCACACTTAGTCTGTGGCTGAGAAAAGAATACAAGCCATGTGCAGTGAGGCCCAATCCTTTTCTTTTTTTTGCACAACTATTCCAGTGTGATAAATAGCACTCATAACACATCGGAGCACAGGTATGAGCCCGTAATATGATCTTTCTCAAACCTCTGCAAATGTAAAATGGGTGGACTTCAACTCCCAAAATTCCCCAGCCCGCTATGCTTAAAGCACGCTGGGCTAGAGAATTCTGGAAGTTAAAAATCCACATTTTAATTTTATTTATTGAATTTATATTGCCGTCTATTCACTCATGGCGACTCAAGGTGGCTTATGGGATATTAAATCTCATTTAAAACAATAAAACTAATAAAAAAGAATCAAATAAATTAATATAATAAATTAAAATAACCCCCACCACCGCGACAGCTTAAGATATACTTAAAGCTTGCTAGTTGGGGGATTCTGGGAATTACAACCCATCCACCTTAAACTTGCAGAGGCTGAAAAACACAGCTCTAACACAAGCAGCAAATACCGGTTAACCCGTACAGCAGATCAGCGAAGCTGTAAACAAGCTGATGCTTGCTGATGCTTGCTATTTGCTGCAAGCAGCAGCATCCCTGAAGGGCTGGCTTTCTACATACGGGGAGAGGTTTGCAACCCCTCAGCCAGCATTTCAAGGCAGACCGTTCTTCTGCGCATAAAAACAAGACTAGCAGCCGTCCCCCGGCGCCTCAGCTGCAGACCTTCTCGGAGAGATCCAACAGTGTCCCCTTCCATTTCCCATCCACCAGGAGAAGGGAAGTCCGGTTGTCCAAAGAAGCCGAATCCCTGAAGGAGCCTTTCTGGAAGACAACGCTGCCCTCCATCACGGTCAAGCCATGCACCCGGCATAAGTCAGCGGCCTCTTCCAGGCTGTCAATCGCCAGCAGGTGGCTCAGTCGGGCCAGGGGGTACCGGCAATTCTTCGCATGGAAGCCATGGCTGAAAGCGAGCAACGCCAGGCGCCGGGTTTTGGCCAAGTGGGGATGGAGGGCGCAGCTGGGGAGGTAAGGGAGCTGCCGGGCCAGGCGGAAGAAACGGGCAAAGTTGCGTTCCAGGAAAGCCCAGTGGATGGCCAAGGCTGCCTTGAGGTCGGGAGACGACCGGATATCGTCGGAGAGCTGGAGGATCTGCCAGAGGGCATCTGGGGAGCCTGGGGGGGTGGGTGGGTGGGGGAGGAGGAAGAAACAGAGATAAGCCAAAACATTAAAAATTTTTAAAAAGGGGCAGTAACCCCTGATTTGATTTATGACCACAATTGAGCCAAGCATTTCTGTTGTTAAGTGAGACAGTTGTCTTTTTAAATGCAGGTGGGCTGCCTGAATTCTTGTTCCGATGAGTTTGTTCTCCTACATTGTGCCATCCGCTTATGAAGCGGCTGTTTTGTTTCCCCAATGAACCGAACTTGCAAACAGTTTGTTGCGTTTGTGCTCGCTACTCGGGTTGCGTCTGGGTGTTTTCCGAGGATTTTAGGGGCAGCCACAAAGAGCAGGGGGAGGTTCTACCTATTTTCCAAAGAAACCAGAAGGTTGGACAAGAAACAATGAATCGAAACTCATCAAGGAGAGAAGCATCCTGGAATTAAAGTGGAAACTGCCTAACAGTGAGGACAATTAACCGGTGGAACTGCTTGCCACCAGAGGTTGTGGGTTCTCTATCATGGGAGATGGCATAGGGCCGTGATGGTGAACCTATGGTATGCCTGCCAGTGGTGGCACGCGGAGCCCTCTTCGTGGGCATGCGCACCGTCGCCAGCTGCTCTTCTGGTTTTGCCAGCCAGCTGGTTTTTGTGGGTGCCAGGGCACCCAAAAAACACCCCCCCCCAAACAGGCCATTTTTGAGCCTTTTTCAGGCCATTTTCAGGTCTTTTTATGGGCTGCTTTCCGGATCAAAAACAGCTCAAAAAATGGCCACCCCCCCCCCCAAAAAGGCCGGGAACCCCCCCCCCCCCAAAATAGGCACGCGTGCTCTGGCCAGCTGGTCTTTGGGTTTCCAGCACATACATATGCACACATGTTCTGGTTTGGGCACTCGGTGCCGAAAAGGTTCGCCATCCCTGGTATAGGGTCTCCTGCTTGAGCGGGGGGGGTTGGACTACAACAGTGGTCGCCAACTGGTGGGCTGGGGACCACTGGTGATCTGCGAGAAAATTTTAGTGGTCCACAGAGAAATGTCATCCCCCCAAAGCAATTAATCCAGGCTGCGTGGGAACACAAGGCTTGTGTCGCTTGCACTGCGCACAACACGAGGTAGTGAGGGAGGGGGAAGGGCGGAGGGGGGGAACTTGCCCCACTCGCCCCACGTGCCTGGCCTGGCCACCGGGCTGCTTCTTTCCGCTTCTTTCTTCTTCTGCTTTTGGCTGCACGCACGGAAAGCAGCCAAAGTCTTTCTTTCTTTCCCCCAAATTCCGCCAGAAATGAGTCTGTGCAAGGCCTCCTGCTTCGGGACGCTGTGCCAGCAAAGACTCATTTCTGGCAGAGTTTGGGGGAAAGACTTTGGCTGCTGCTTCTGATTTCATTGCACGAAGCCAAAAGTCTCTCTCTCTCTCTCTCCCCAAGAACAGAGCTAGAGACAGTATCTTGTGATACCAAATAAATAAAGAATGATCACCAGTAGGAAAACGGGGTGGGGAATTTTCCCACAGACTTTTGGGGGGATTTTCCCAGGGTCTCTGGTCCGCGGGATTTGAAATTAGGAGTTTGGTGGTCCCTGAGCTCCCAAAGGTTGGACTAGAGAACCTCCCAGGTCCCTTTTATCCTATCCTTGGAGTGGGCCAGCTTCCCCTCCCAACCTCGCCGTTCCATGGGCAGCCCCTTTTCCTGGCATCCTGCCCCACCCCCCCCCGATCCAAGCCCAGGGTTGCCTACCCCCCCCCCCCGCCCCCCAAACCCCAGGATGAGTGAGTCCCTCCGGCTGCGCTGCCCGCGGCTCACCCAGGTGGTAGAGGAGGAAGAGCGCCTGGAAGCGCGGCTGGGCAGGATGCGCGGCGGGGCGGCGGTAGGCGCGGCGCAGGGCGGCGAAAGTCTCGCGCAGCTGCCCGTCGTGGAGGTGGGCGTCGAAGCGCGCGGGCGCCTCGTTGCAGAGCCGGGCTCCGGCGTGGAGCAAGTACAGCACGGCGCGCTCCAGCACGGCGGCGCAGGGCGAGGCGGGCGGCCGCTGCAGCGCCAGATCCAGCCGCACGGCGCGCAGCCGGTCGGCCACGAAGGCGCAGCGCTCGGCCGGCGACACCTCGCTCGCTTCGGCCACCGACCGCCCCAGCAGGTGGTGCACGGTGGCCAGCAGCACCTCCGGCGGGCGCAGGTCGCAAGGTGGCGGGGGAGCCTGGCCGGCCGCCGGGCGGGAGAACTCCTTCACCGCCCGCGCAGGGTCCGCTTGCCGATCCGGCCCGAGCTCCAGCCGGTGCAGCCGCTTCTGGCGCCGCCGCCGCGCGAACTCCCCCGCCGGGCACATCGCCTTGCAAAGGGCCGGCCGCGGAGGACCCTCCGCCTCGCCCTCGCTCATGCCGCCGGACCCCGGAACCCGCGCGGGCAGGGGAGCAGGGCCGGCCCCAGGAGGAAGAGCCCCGCCTCGCCGCGCGTGGCCCGCCTTCCCGGAGGCTGGTTCTCGCCCTGCGCCCGCGGGCGCCCGGCTGCAAACCGCGCCGAGCCCCGGCGCCTTTCCCAGGAAGACGCTTTTTTGCGGGGGGCGATCGCGGCTCTTCCGCGCTGATCCCCGCACCACGTGGAGACCAGGATCGGTTCTCCCACGCCGGGGGCAGCCCAGTCCAGTTGCGCCAGCCCCTTCGGGGATCCTAAGGCCGTAGGGTCGCGCGCTGTGGCCATTTAAAAAAAAAAAAAATTCTTCCTTTCTGGAAAGGGAATGTGATCGCCCACGTCGAGGCCCTTTCCGCCTGGCGACGGGGCTCCGGATTGCGGGGTGGAAGGAAAAGGAGCAGCAGCCGCAGCTCCTCCTCCCACGTGCTAGCCGGGGATGATGGGGTTTGTAGTCGGGGAAGGCGTGGTTGAGCGGACCTTCCACTTTGGACAACGGGGGAAAAAGAGGCGCAAAAGGGAAATGCGTTGCGACAGTGCAGAATGGTTTCTAAGGCCGGGGAGGGGGGAGCCTTGAGATCTTCTAGTCCAACCCCCCCCCCCCGCTCCTGAAAGCAGGAGACCCATCCCAGAATTGCATTGCAAAAATCCCCTTGTTCCTATTTCATATTTAGCAAAACCTGAAAAAAATAAAAGAGTAGGAATTCTTAGTTGACACCCCCACCCCAAGGGGGGGGGGTTAAAAAACGGTCTTCGAAGCGGATATTGCGCTCTGCGTGTCTCTACTAGTTTTATAGATCTAGGTGGCTCCCCCGGCTTGGCCAATCGCCTGCTCCTTCCCAGAGAGGGGCGGGTCTTCAGGGTGAATGATTGCCGAGCGATAGGGGCGTGGCCCGATTTGTGGTCAATCTCGACTTCGGGTTCTCGTTCGGTTTGGACGTTGGAAACGGTGGAGGATTCTGGGATTTTAAAAATCAGATCTGATTTTATATTAAATTTTAAAATAAAAATAGAAAGAACACAGAAAAAGAATGTAAAGATCCTCTTCCTGATTTTTTTTATTTTAAAATTTAATATTTTAAGTTTTTCTATACATTGTATGGTGTGTGTATTAAGTAAAACCATTGTATTTTAAATCTGATTTATTGTGTTTTTTGTTATCTGAGGGTTTTTTTGTTTGTTTGTTTAGAATCTGGGTTTATTTGAGCACGAAATCTTGGATTTGTACAGAAAACCTGATTGGAAACCTCGCCTTAATTTTAGCAACGCTGCAGTTGAGTGTAGGACCAGAGCAAAACTTTTATTTCTCTCAACCCACCAAGGATCCACTCTTTAACATTTCAATGGCAGAGCAAACATCCTAATCTAGGTAGCCCTGGACTTACGACCACAACGGAGTCCAAAATTTCTGCTGCTAAGCAAGACAGTTGCTAAGTGAGTTTTGCCCCATTTTACGACCTTCCTTGCCATGGTTGTTAATCCGGTTTCCTGGTGGACTTTGCTCGTCAGAAGGTCGCAAAAGGGGATCATGTGACACTGCAACTGTTGTAAATATGAGTCATTTGCCATGATCACGTGACCATGGGGATGCTGCAATGTTAAGTGTGACGAACGGTCATAAGTCACTTTTTTCAGTGCCGTTGCAACCTTGAAAGATCCCTAAATGAATGTAAGTTGGACTACCTGTGCGTTTTATTTACGTGCATGCATGTTTTTGCTTTTACAGGCAAAAAATGGTGATTCTCTTAATTCCATGTTGTTGTATCCAGAACGATACAATCAGGATCAAGGGAGGTACTAATACCACTGTGTAAAGCCTGAGTAAGGCCACGCCTAGAGTACTACAGTCATACTGTAAAAAAATACGTTGAGAGGCTAGAAAAAGTGCAGAGAAGAGCAACCAGAATGATTTAGGGGACTAGAGGCTGAAACATACAATGGAACGGTCGCAGGAACTGGGCCTGGCTAGTCTAGGGAAGAGAAGGACCGGGGAGGCAGGAGAGCAGCCTTCCAATATTTGAGGGGCTGCCCCAGAGAGGAGGAGGAAGGGGTCAAGCTATTTTCCAAGGCACCTGAAGGCCAGACAAGGAAGAATGGATAGAAACTGAACGAGAGGTTCAACCTGGAAATAAGGAGGAATTTCCTGACAGGGAGAACCATCAACCCATGGAACAGAAGTTGCCTTTGGAAGTTCTGGGAGCTTCATCCTCCCTGGAGGCTTTCAAGAAGAGACTGAATTGCCATTTGTCAGAAATGGTCTAGTAGGGTCTCCTGCCACTCACGCATCATCACAAGATCTCCAGAACTGTAAAGCCTACAAACTTAAAATTTGGCACGCATGTTCCTCTTGGCTTCTAGGGACTCATTAAGAAAGGATTTTTCAAAATGACCATCAGAGCATTTAGAGTATTTCCTATATTATTATTATTAACATGCTCTGATGCTAAGGAGTTCTACTCCCCTCCCCACCTGAAAAGAAATTTCTTCCAAATGCAAAACACAAGCAGAAGAGAGGAGGTTCAGCTTCAGAGCACCAAGCAGCTTTAGTGCAGAACAGTTGAGTTAAGCCACGCCCAGGTTCCTTGCTGTCTCTTTGCTCACACAACAAATACTGTTTCAGTTTCCAAACAGCCCTCAACTCTCTCTCACACTGGCAGGATGCTAGCCAGATGAATACCGATGGATGCTGGTAGGCAGAGGCAAACCCCACCCCCACCCCTTATTTTCTTCCCCCAAAAGCTAAGCCTGATCACATAGTTTCGTAACCAAGCAGTGGTATCAAACTCGTCTGTAAATATATCAAACTGACTTTCCAGTTGATTAGGACAATTTGGTCACAACCTGGAAGATCTATTTTTGCCTTTGTAGATTTGTCTGCTCTGTGTTGCTTGCAAATACGGACACCTCAAATAGTTGCAATTGAACAACAAAAGAACCCAGAAAAAGCACAGCAGTTAAAAGGTTAATAAACAGTTTATTTGCATTTTACAAGATCGGTTTCCATACATTCTCAATTAATTTGCCATTAAAGTGCTGAAAAATAGTTTTCTTTGTATTTGTTTTGTTTTATAATCAAGGTACAGTTAATGACAAAAGGTAACAGTTTGCACCTGTCAGAGGAATTAATGACAAAAATATTTGTTCCTCAGCTAGGATAACTTTTCTTTTACAAAAATAAGAAATATACAGAAACAATTAAGATGACGTCATAAGGATTGTGGCTTGAATTATTTTGCAACAGCAATGCATCTTTTGAACAACAAATAAATTACATGTGGATATTTGGTTGCAGTTGGTTTAGTCGTTTTGCCAAACAAATGAAAAGTCATTTTTGTTGAATTTGACACATCTTACTTGCTTCTGTATATGTGCAGTGTTTCTTTTTCATAAAACCATAATTTTAAAGGATAAAACATTTTAGCCCCCTGTAGGTAAAAGCAAAAAAAAATAAAAATAAACCCCTAGTAGTTTAAAATTAACACATTTTCATGGATCAACACTGAGGATACTCAGTGAATTGAAATATATATATATATATAATATATCTCAATCAAAGCTTGCTTAGGTAAACAGAAAGCTCTTACAGCATACAAAGCACAACCCTATACCTGAACAGAAGAGAAAAATCGTCCAAAATACTCCCAAAAAACTGTACATCTTTCTTCCTTACGGCACAGCTTTAAATATCACATAATCCAGGCTTTTCGAAATTCGTCACTTCTCCGTCTGCAAAAAATTGCCCATTTGCTCATCTGTATATCTGGGAGGAATTCTACATTGAATGAATTCAAACTGATACAGCTGACAAACCTTGCTGCTGTTTGTTTTAAGGCATTTGCTGCTTTTTTAAAAAAAGGTTTTTCTTTGTTTAAAAAAGACGTGTGTTTTTTGGTGCAGTTCAGCCAAGGCCACTTGGGAAGAATTTGGGGGATATTCACGACCCCAACAAAGGGTCAGAAATTTCTGGTGGGCTCTGCAATGCCACATGCCGTGGCCTCGGCGTGAAAATTGTGCCAATGATCTATAAACTGCTCAACATCCCCCTTAGATGAGCACGGATGCCGCTGTATCAGTTTGGAATTGTTTTACATCTCTGGAAGATAAGAAATCTTTCAGTGGAACCTGCCCTATTCACAGTAAAACAGGAATGACTTTGCTCTCAAATCCTACTATTTCACTGTAGACCACCTGTTTCATTGCAAAGTATTTGAAGCCGGGAGGAAAAATATATATATACAGCGGGAGAAGGAGAGGGCCATGGGGAGAGAGGGACCTTATGTACAGGAAGGGGCGTTATGTACACAAGCATTTTCCTGGACTACTCTTTCTTTTTCGCCACTGTCAGCTCGACGGCCGGCACTCGGAAGGCGGCTTTTGTCCCACTTTCGTTACTCGAAGACGAGGAAAGTCGAGATTTTTTGGACTCTAGGGAGGCTCCGCTGCCTTGTGTTCTCCCTGCCTCGTTGTCGCTTCCCGTGACCTCGTAAGACCCTTTGCTTTTCGACCCTATCCCCCCAAAAGTGCCAAATTTGATCTTGGCATGCTTGCTTTTGTCTCCTTCGTGCTCCAGCGTGCCGGTCGGGGTGGAGTGCGAGGAGTGCTCATCACTAAACGAGGACGACCGGTGCCGAGACTTTTTGGTCTTGAAGAAGGAGAACTTTCCTTTGGGCGAGACAGCTGCTTCCCCTACTTCCACTTCACCTTCTAAGGACCCTAAACTTGCTTTGAGCTCTCCTTCAACTCTGGCCCCAGATGTTGAGACCTCTGGGGAGCCAACACTTGCCTTGACTTTGGGTTTGGAGAAGGCAAACTTGGGCATTTTGATTTTAGATTTCTTCAATTTCAGGTCAGGTTCTTCCAGCTCAACTGCGCCTGCCTCAACGTGGAGACTTGCTTGTGGCGGTTGGGGAAACTCAACATCGACTCCGACTTCTCTTCCCACCGGTTCCTGCCCTGCCACCACAAATTTTGGTATTTTCATTTTAGGGAAGAA